ACTCAACAGAAGGGGTTTTGGAGAAAAAAATCATTAAGAAGTCTTATTTAATTTGGAGAAAAATAGATCCTAGCAGAAGGACCACTTCACACCTCAGTCAACTGAGGGCATTTCAAAATGTTCCAGTAAACCTTGTGCTACTTACTGTTTAAGTCATAACAATGTGTTTAAATGCTTTTGTCTTTCTACATGTGCCTGTGTGAGCAGAATACAATATCTCATCCAAACACAAATAATGCGTGCGGTATTTATGTTCAACATTAAATTCAGCATTCACACACGTCCAATTAACCCTTGAAAGTCATAGAAACCTCCTTACCATATCCCCAAACTATCGTATCCTGCAAAGCAATGTCTTGGAGAGTATATGAAGGTGCGACAAAACAAATCAGTGTTGTTGCACAGAATGAGCAGAACTCTCTGAAGCTGGAAGCTTTCAACAATATTTCTTGTCAGATGGTTTCAGTCGCACAGCAGGCAGCTGTAACTAGTACTCTGTTCAGGGTGAAGTAGATGTTTTGTGAGAGGCTTGCAGTTGTGTTTTTTTTGTAACTAGACACATGCCACTACCAGAGTCGTATACAGCGTCTCTACATCACTCCTCCGCATTCCAAATATGGTAACTTCCGGTTACAAAAAAAAAAAACATGGCGACGGCAGTAATCCAAGATGACGACGGTGAACTCAAGGCTTTAAAACGGCAGTCCACAAACCAATGGGTGACGTCACGATGACCACGTTTACTTCTTGTATACAGTCTATGATTGTTAGTGTGTCATTGGTTCAGCTACCGTGCGCCAATGGTTGCATGCAGTTGGAAGGATCCCCACAGTTATTACAATTCATCTTAAGGTGAACATGAATGTATATAATGTGATTTTAAAAAATATCTAAATCTGTTTGCAGCCTTTCTACTGCAAAATCACAAAATGCTGCAAATCTGCCATAGGAATCTGGCTAAAGAGTGCTACCTAACACTCCTCTCTTAATGGCTCTGGTAACACCAGAAGCCAATCCCTGTGTCGCTTCGGATGTTTTTTGTGAGTTAATTATGTTTGCAGACACGGAACAAAAAAAAAAAAAATCTGAATCAGCCAGCATTCAGCAGTAAAGGTTAGAGACAACTGGTAGGCTACTGAAAGGAATCTTGCAAATTGGAATTTGATTGGTCAGACACAATGTCGCACCTGTGACAACAGCTTAGAGTAATTTCTTTCGTTGGCTGGCTGTCTCGCAGGCTGAAATCTAATTTCCCCTGGATGTGCTTCAAAGCCTTTGCAACACTAATCCAGCAAACGGGGCGAGCTTTCCTGAGGTGTGTTTGTGTGAATGTGTAATGAACAAAGTGATAGACGGAGAGATGAGGGAGAAAGGGGGAGGATTTATATGTGCGTTTGTCTGTGTGGCGACAACGGATGTATATGTCTTAAAAGTCAGTTTCTCAAAAGGTCAGGATGTATTAAACTAATGGGCTGTACCTGTGCGCCTGTGTGTCGACCTGTGTGTGTGTGTGTGTGTCTGTGAGATGAAGTGGATTTATCTTCAAATGCCGAGCCCCCGGCCGATATTTGATCTTGATCATGACACACATACACGCACATCTATAGACGGAATGCGGGGCTGTGCTGGTATTAATAATGAATAGATTTTGCATTATTAAAGTACCTTGATTATTAATAATTGAAGTGTGGATCGAGCAAAGCCCTGCAGAGCCCAGGAAGCTGTTGGTACAGCCCATCATGACCTTTACCAAGAACCTGCATCTACAGCGTTCTTCCAGGAATTATACTGTACTCATGTTCATTTGCACGGTTCATTTCCAACTATTGGCCAGTCTGACCAAAACAGATCCCTGAGTGTTAAAGTGCAACCACGCGTTCAGTCAATTAGAGTCACGGACGAAGACATTTTGAGCATCATGCAATGGTAACAAATTCTGAAACATGAACACACACACTCAATCAGCCACGCACGCACGCACGCACGCACGCACGCACCCAGCCACCAGCAATATCCTTTGGAGCTGTACATTGAAGACTAGAGCTGGTTATCGCTGTTCTTTCTCTTCTACATGAGAAAATTTAAATGACTGCGCACCGCTCAAAATGTCATTTGTAATAGCTATATGAAACATTTGGCTCCATGCATGACGCATGAAACAAGTTGTGATGCAGGCACCTGTTGGGTCTTATTTTCAGCCTGTAAATTTGGCCATAAATTGACCTTCACTACGGCCATCACGCCAAATCAGTGTAACGTATGATGGGATGTATTACGTAGAATTAAATTAATGGTGTGTGACAGTGGCTTAAGATAGTTACAACAGGCCGCAGTGCACTCTATCATGATGGGCTCCTAGTGCACGCTAGTTACTAATTATGAAGCACACGTACACATCATTTTCTTCCTGTTGCTTTTTGCTTTAAAAGGCATGACTGCTCGTTTGGTTGTGCTCAGCTTGTCGGTCTTGATTATTAATTTATTTGAATAGTTTAATATTTAGTGTAAGTGTACGATGATTGGTCATACACATCAGCCAATGCAGCACTAGCAAACGGCATTTAAAAAATTGCTTGTGACAACAACAAAAAACAGTGGAAAACACCGACAAATGGACCAACAGTGAGTCCAGAAGTTAAGTCATTGATGATCACATACCCACTGAGCTAAAGAACAAGTGAGAGCCACTCTACAGCAAGCTAAACCATTAGCACAAAGGCTAACCCAGTAGCAAAAAAGCTAACCAAGTAATGTTCGCACAGAGGCCAACACAGTAGCGTTAGCACAAAGGCTAACACAATAGCACAAAGACTACTGAGCCAAAGAATCTGTTTCAAACTGGCAACAGGTACTTTTATGGTGTCTAATTGGCTTGTGTTCCTATGTTTGTGGCGCGTATCACAGTTGGTTATATACTCCTATCGCACTAAAAAAAAAAAAAGAGCTTGTAGCAAACTTTGCAGTTCCTCTCAAGGACTCCCCAGAACTGTTCGGTCCCAAAACCTCTATGGTTGGAGGGCCCTGCTCTATCTACAAGAGCTTCCTTTCACAAGCTTTCACGTATACTCAGACACGTTGAAGAAGACCAGACAATGATGCACTCTTAAATGCCACTTTCAAGCATTCACCTCCTGCTCAGTTTAACATTCTGCTGTGATTATCTCGCTGACGCTTGCTGTCGCCCGGGGCTCCATCGCCACCCATCATCTTGTGCAAAAACAAAAGAGAATTGGAGCCAAGCTGTGGTGTGGGAAGGAAAAATAAGTGGGGGGGGGAAGGCAGATGTGTGAGTGATGTGAAAAAGATAGAGACAAGCAGAGCATGTAAAGAGCCAATTGTGCCAAATTATGTAGAAGCACAGACGGGGGAGGGCAGGGATCCAGAAACGAGGGTGCAGACGACTGTTGGACCGCGACAGCAGGATGTGGAGGTGGTTGGAGGTTCGTGGGAGAGCTGGAGGGCCACGTCCAATTGCGACTGTTGCTCACATGGCATGCTCCAAGCTCCTGCCTCTCATCCCTTCCACCGCCCATCCATTTCTTCTCAATCAACTTATGCCAGTCTGCGCCCCAATACGACACCGTGTTGTTCTTCAGTCTCACCCGTCTCTCCCTTTTTATTCATCTCCTCCTCCTCCCTCTTTGCCGACCTCCCTCCACCATCTTGCCTGTGTTCCACGTTCCTGCTTGGTTTTTTTCTGCAGCCCCCTCGCTCCTCTGTTCTCAGCTGTCTCGCTGTGCAGCCACCGACAGTTTGACTTTTTCCCTTTTCTTTTTCTTCTCCCTCCTAATACTGCAGTGGGCTTTGTCTGTCAAAAGCCTCACAAAAGAAAGTCGGCCTACATCTTTGTTGTATTTTAATTATTCTCGACATGCTGTGGGCTCAGTTAATAGTCTCAATGAAAATAACAGGAGACACACTGTACATTGGTTTTCACAAGAGTAGTGATTTTGATTTGCAAAATCAGTGGAATACTTTTCAGTACTTTTTTTTTCTTCAGAAAACTACCCTTTTTACTTCAAGTAATACAGATATTGTACCATTTTTGACGTTCGGGAATACTAACTCTGCTAAATGCTATTTTGTGCAGTTGGTATATCGTTGTAAAAAAAGTAATGTTAAGTACGATTACTATTCAATGCAACACCTTCTCCCTCCCATCTTTGTTGAAATGACTTTCCAGGTCCATCCCTTTGATCTTCGGTCTTTGATCTACAGCTCAGAGAGTCCGTGTGTTTAATTTACTTCTCTGATTCCCTCAGGCGGGCACTCCCTCAGCTACTGAAATGACTCTCTCTCTGATTCACCGCTTCAAAGACTCAAACGTGTCCGTGTGTCCTTCTGCATGCGCAGGTAAAGGGGATCTGATTGGCTCGGATTCCCTGACGAAAGAGCAGGTGATCAAGACCAACGCCAACGTCAAGGCCCTGACCTACTGCGACCTGCAGTACATCAGCCTCAAGGGCCTCCGCGAGGTCCTCCGGCTCTACCCCGAGTACGCCCAGAAGTTCATCAGCGAGATTCAGCACGACCTCACGTACAATCTGCGAGAGGGCAACGGGGCTGATGTGAGTACACACAGAGAGTAATATCACAGATTTAAGACTTGTGTTTTTATGTTTGCAATCGTTGTTTTCTCAAATTTCTCCTTAAAGACAAATAAAGTAGTTTTTATTAATTTGAACTGATCAGACTGCCTCCTTGTGGCCATGGGATTGCCAGTGACTAATAGTATTGTTGGATTTGCTCAAACTTTGTGTCAGAAAGTGGGAATAAGAATGCATTCTACACATGTAGGGTCATGTACATATCAACCCAACGTCATCTAATATTGGGTACTGGGGAAGGAAAGTGAGTAGTCTGTCACTTTATCAAAACCTGCTACAGTTTGGGGAGGTATTTAGAGGCTAATATGGCTAAAGGTGGGGACCGTGTCATCAAAAATGGTGCAGTAAAGGGTCGAAGAAAGGTCTGCAGGTGTGTATTTATAAATGCAATGTATACAGTTACAGCTGAGTAAAACTGACATATGTTGGTTTTGTGATATAAGATGATAAAGTTTCTTGTAAGAGGAGAATAATTTGGTACCTAGTAAGAAGAAATGCGATGAAAAATATCTTGATATGAAGTGAAAAGAATTTTGTAAAAAATAAGAAAGGTTTCTCCTGATAACAAGAAACTGAGTAAGTGTTCTTGAGTCATGGATGCAACCCACCAGATCAGTCACATCTCTCCATGTGCGGCCTCCAAAGTGCAAATCGAAAATGAAATTCTAACGGGCAGCCTGAGAGGCGCCTTCAGAGGGGTCTCACGGGTAAAAGCTGCACATGACCTCGAAAACCACTACTGTAAAATACACTCACGGATCCCTGCACACATCACAATTTCACAAGCCAAGGCTCGAAGTGCTTTTTGCATATCTACTGCTATTTTACAGACACGCACACAGCCTGCGCCTCTGGCTGGTGCAGCAGCAGAGGGAGCAAAACACAGGGACAAGAATAGCTCAGTGCTGCTGTTTGAAGCTGTCCTGTTGCTAAAAATAGTGCAGGGAGGAAGCACGGGCCGTCCCTGAATAGCTGTGTCCCCCGCAGCTGCTGCTAAGATTGGATCCCGCTCGATCTAAATAGCGCAGCCAGCCGAGGAGAAGAGAAAGGTGGAGGAGGAGAGACGAAAGGGAGGGGAGGGGGGAAGACTTTCTGTTCTGCTCTTCCTAAGGTCCTCCTTTTCCACTGCAGACACGTGTGATTCTCCCGTGCACAGAACGCTTACTGCAGAGTATTAGCGTGGTGCAAATGCGTGCACATATCAGCATGTGTCCGTAGCAGTATCAAGAGGATGCATGATTCCAGATGCCACAAGCTGCTGCCCATGTCTCTGGTTTTGATGTCCATACTGGTTATGAATGCAGAACCTTTCTGGTACCAGCAGCAGCCCAGGAGAGCGTGTTTGCACATGTGTGTAAGAAAAGAATGCAGATGTACAGCACCTCCTTTCCAGGTAGACAGAGACTTGAGGAGGCAGTCCCAAAAGGATGAAATAGATTTGTCATAGCAACAAAGAAGAGACGTGTTGCCCGGCGTAGACTTGATCAAAAAGAATAAGATGATAAACAGCAAGGGGGGTTCCCTGTGTTCTTCTCCTGTTCAATCTCTGCACCAGAAACATGCTGGTGTGGAGAACGACATAGTGCCACATAGTGCCACATACTGCGCGCGCGCGCGCACACACACACACACACACACACACACACACACACACACACACACACACACACACACACACACACACACACACACACAGCACCAAAAACAAGAAGAAAAAAAAAAAGAGCACTTTGTTCGTTCGTGTCACACACAGTTTACATACATCCACTCTCACATGCAGGCCCTGCTCTCAGACTTCTGCATGACTCGATCACACATACATGATGCGAAATGCAAACTTCAGCACGCACACACACACACACACACTCGCCAACACGAGGCAAGTGCACACTTATCACGCCCCCGCATCGCAGAGCGCTCCTTGGTTTTCCTCCAGAGCTGGGAGCTAAAATTAGAACAAGAGCTAAAAATACATTACGGTGGCACAGAGGGAGGGAGGGCACTGGGGGAGGAGGAGGAAGGAGGAGAGAGTATGCTGAGCAGGCAGGGATGGAGGGAGAGGAGAGACTTAATTAGAGTGAGGCTCAGAGAGGGAGAGAACAGGGGAGGAAAGGGAAAGTGGAGGGGCGTTGGCTTGTCTGCATGATGAGATGTGAAATACATTTATTACTCACTGCACCAGTCATTCTAGGGCACAAGTTATGTTATTATTGTGAAGCCGCTGGAGGAGATCGGCAATTTATACTGTAATCCCTAAAGCTGCTGTTTGTTAAAGTGGATGCAGTGAAATTGTTTTCAGTGTGTTGGTAAGGTCGGACCTTATAGCACATGTTTTTAGACACGATGTGCAGAAAGACTCGTCTTCACTCTTTTTTTGTTCATTTGAACATTATGATCCTTGTAGGGTGAAAGAGCATTAAAGAGATAAAAAACTATTACAAAAGTATATAAAACCATACCTTAACACTTACATAAATAAAATAAAAAAATCATGAGTTCAAATAATCAGAAAATAACTTATTGTTTTGGTGGCTTGTCAAAAAATATATTTGTGGGGGGATTTAAGACTCAAGATATCTAAAATGTATAAAACGTTTAGGACATTTATTAATCTTAAGTCCCACCAACTCACTCATACATAAACATCCAGCCACAAAAACAGGTGTAAGTCTGCTCTTGTTTTCTCTGTATCTTGAGCTCTTGACTATTTAATGCTGAACTCTGACTTCTTCTAGTACAATCACAGACAGAAAGTGCTGTTTTGTTTAGCTAGTCTTTTCTGGAAGTTTCAGCGACCCAGCATCAACACTGGAGACGGCCTAAATTATTCAACTCATAAGCAGGGACATCGCTGATGGGGAACAGGGACGGATTTAACTGCTGGGGGAGTGTGTGTGTGTGTGTGTGTGTGTGTGTGTGTGTGTGTGTGCATGCTCGGAGCAAAGTGATGAGGGAAAAAGTCAGAAGCAGCAGTCTGTATTAAATGTAGCATGACAGGCTTCTTTTTGCAGTCTGGCAAAGACTGAGGCAAAACAATATTCGCTCAAAACAAAATGAGAAATAATTGGAATTGGACTCGTTACTATTCGCTCCTCCATCTCTCTCTCTGATTTCTCTCTGACATTTCCTCGTCTCACACAATCCCTCGAGGGAGACGGGAAAAGTTTTGACGTGGGTCAAACTCCTGAATGAAAACCAGGCAAGTTTGAAAAGTGATTAAAGTGTACTAAACAGTACACCAGCACTTTGATCTTTCCTATTAATAAACTAGCAGCAAAAGGAAAAAGCCCCAATATTTTTGTTTAAGCCACCGAAACAAATATTCACTCATACACCCAGGAATAACATCTGTCTGATAGCACCTCTACACTAAAACTCCTCACACTAGGAAAATGGTGAAAGAAAATGGGCTCAGAAATGTTCAAAAAGAAGAAATCAGATAGATGATCAAGAAATATCCTGTTGTTGTATTTGTGGTGGTCTTAGATATGCTCTCTGTTCTGTTGGAAGAGGGAGTATGTTGAGTACAGTACATCAAAACATTCAATGATGGAAACTCTTGTTTGTCTGCCACCCGCTGGCACAACCACGTCACTGCGTCACCAACACTGTGATGCAACACGTGCTCAAAACAAGCGGAACAGTCTCCTCCGTCAACAGCCGCCCGGTTGAACTCTTTTTGTTTGACTCGCAGGTGGACTGGGAGAGCAACGGCGGCCTGGTGAAGAAGCTGCCGTCGATCCGCGAGGACGAGGAGGTCGACGAGGAGCAGAACTCGGTGTCACGCGCCCATCGCTCCCCGCTGCGTCTCAGCAGGGGGCTCAACTCGCCGCTGCGCTCCCCGCTGCTGCCGCCGAGGCCGTTCCGCGCGCCCTCCGAGCACTGCCGCCCCGCCACCCTGCAGATACCGGTGGTCAGCTTCTGCAGTGCGCCGTCCGAGCTCAGCCCCAGGTAACACACGCACGCATGAAACAGAAGTAGCAGCATCAGCTGATGATGCTGCAGCAGCATGTGTGTGTGTGGCTGCATGAAAACCAGTAGGTTACTGGTGGATCACGTGGCTGCTGTAGGAGGGCGTGGAGGTTTGCATGTGAGCAAAATCTGCTGATAGAGGGGTTTGTTTTATGTGTGAATGAAGTCACACACACACACACACACACACTGTAATTAGTGCTCTCTCTGATTTACATTCCTCTCCTGTGCGCCGTCTCTTATTTTAATCCCTTTTCTTCTGCATAGATTCGTGGACGGCATTGAAACGGAGAACAACTCCACCTCCTCACAGAAGTTTGAGTTCAGTCCCAGCATGTCACCTATAGCCCCGCCCTCTCCATACCCAGGTAACACGTTTACACACACAGTAGCCTCGCTCTGAGGAGAATAGTTTTATTTCTGGAGGACTAATGTTCTCGTGTGTGTGTGTGTGTGTGTAGGGATCCGGGAGCACTCAGAGATCAAGCAGAGTGTGTCCAAACTGACAGAGGAGGTGAGTGCTACATGATGATGATGATGCTTGTTTACACATCTACCTGAAGAAGTTATGAACTCCTCAAAATGGCTTTGGTTGTTTGTATTACTCAGCAGACTATTTCATGAATGGATTTCATGGCAATTACTATTTTGGAGAAGTAGTAGCCGTCGCCATCTTGGTTTTTTGCAACCAGTGAACGAAAGTTACCATATTTTAACTGCGGTGACCTGTCAATCACAAGGTAGCCCCGCCTAAACTAGTCAAAATGTCTATTTGTTAGAAAGTTAGACAATAAGCTGAGAAAGAATTTTGCCAGTTCCAATCCAGTTCCAAATTAAATTATCAAAACAATAGATTTAGAGGGATTACACTTCTTCAGCAGAGCTCTTGTAGTTCCATGTTAGTATTTAATCTGAGCATGCAGCATGTTCTCCATAGTCACAGTACATGATGTGACTGTGGACATTACGTATGCGGAGTGTGTATCAGATTAGGTTTAACACAAATAAGGATTAACTTTGTCAGACATTGTTGTAAGCACCCCTGCCTTCTATCCATTATCCACCTGAACAACAAGAAACTTTAAACAGCATTTGCATGGACTGACCTTGATTTGGTGTTGTGGTGTGTGTGTGTGTTAACGGTGTGTGTGTCTGTCTCTCTCTCAAACAGATGAACAGTCTCTCTAAACAAGTCTCCACGCTCAGTCGGGAGCTGCAGGAAATGACGCGCCTGCTCAAGCCCCTCCTCCAAACCACACCGCAGCCAATCCTGATGACCATAATGCCAAATTTAACCCCGCCTCCCAGCAGCGCCAGCCAGCTGTCTACGAGCACCTGTCTGGTGCTGCCGCCCGCCGCCGCCACACCTTGTTCCCTCCAGAGACCCGACACCCATTCCCTGTTGGACAGCGGAGACACGGAGGGTGTGGATTTGCCAGGATGCCTTCTCCCGACTCCTCATTCACCAAAAAGGCCTCATTCATCTCCTTCGGCGTCACCACAGCTCCCATCCAAACCCCTGGGGGCCAAGGTCAGGGGCCTCACCCACTCTGATCTTCCCTCCCCTGAGGAAGATCTTCCTGAAGGAGTCCTCCGGAGCCTCCACGGCTCCTCCAGCAATGGGATATATTTGCCCTCGCTGCAGGACCAGCCTCCCCTGGTGTCTCACACCCCTTCACCCTCTCTCTCCTTCTCCATGTCCCTCTGCTCCTCGCCCTCCCTCTCCCTCTCCCCCTGCCAAGGCCCCCACCTGTCCCGACCTGGCAGCCGTGCCAGCAGAGGCCTGCTCCCTCCGCCTCCCTCCCAGGACACCCCTCCTCCCCCGTCCTCCCACTGCTCAGCTCCCCCGTCGCTCACGTCCTCCCCCGGAGACCGTCGGCTGAGACCTTCCCCTTCCGTCCCACTCACGTCCCCCGTCGTGTCCCTCCATCCCTCCACCGTCTCCCTGCCAATGTCTCTGGACTGTGTTTGTGCGAGGAGAAGGCAGAGAGATACCCATACTGCACCTTGGTGTAACTCGCAGCCGCGCCACGGGGAGGCCCAACCCGCCACCCGTCCCCAGGAGCTGGAGATGCACGAGTGGGGGCGACAGGTGGAGGAGGGGAGGTCCTCCACGGAGCACATCAGCTTCATCGATGAAGAGGAGCCAGCGTTATGAGCGGGTTAAAACTGTGAGACGACAAGAGTAGCAGAAAAACGGAGATCAGATCAGGGAAAGTGGACGGCTGGATGAAGACAGTCGGCTGGTCCATATCAACACAGGAAGTGATTCATCAGGCAGGAAATGGACAGACATGTTAACAGAAAGAGGCCGAGACACAATGCCAGCTGTCAGCAGATCAGTGTGAAGGAGTACTTCTCTACACCGATCATCCACAGAACTACAACAGCACAAATTGTCTTACAGTATCAACACTTCAGTAGCGTCAGTCGACCCCCGCAGCTACTGGGACTCACAGAACCCAGAGCACAACTTTTTAACCGGTTCCATTGATCTCTGGAGCCCGATTTAACCCTCTTGTTGCTTTTTAAAAACCCCAAGTATGGATGTCTCCTCCTCTTCAAAGGACAGGTACAAAAAAAAAAAAAACACATATCTCAGCGGGAAACATGTCTTCACCCAAGTCAGATAGTCCGAGCTTGCCGGACTGGGAATGTACACTCTTCATTCAGTCACCTCACATGGAGGACCAGTTTGCATCAACGGGATTATTTTTACATTTTAAAATCTTCCTCTGGCCTGGTAGAGGAAAACACTCTTCCTCAGAGTCATACACATGCCCTCCAATTATGTCCCCCCCCCCCCCCCCAAAAAAAAAGCTAAAAAGATGTTTGAATTGGTTTTAACTTTCTTAATTTTCTTTCTCTGTAAAAGAAGTTTGGAGGACACCAGTACATGAGCATGTAGAGGAGCAGAAGTGCTTCTATTTGAGAGTGGACCTAAAACATCTGAGCTAGCTGTTACGTTGTGTGCCAAAGACAAAAAAGTGGGGCGGGGGGGGGGGGACACAAATATCATAAACGTTACCCATATATAACTGTTTATCACCATTGTGACCGTTTACAACCAGATTGTTCAGCAAACTCCCGCATCACTCCTGAGCTTTAGCCATCCAGCCATCCGTGCCTTCTCCACACAAAGACAAGAGTTCCTTAAAGTCCTTCACCTGTTAATCACGGGCAGCATTTGGATCAGAATTTACATTGAAAGCCATCAGCGTCACGTACAGAGAACACTTGCACCTTTACCCTAAAATGTAATTTATTTTTTCAGGCTGTGAATTAATTTATTTGTATTTATTTTTTGAGGAAAGCAATGAGGAACTCTATTGCATGTCTGCGAGTGTCACCTTCCCAATTGTTATGTAGCACACACACAAACACACGAAGCATATCTTGAACACGCATACATTTTACATCGTCTCCAACCCGTTTGCCAACAGCCAAACCCTAAAACTACACTACCCAGGCTGCATCGCTACAGAGGTCTCAGGACTTCTCTGCATTTACTTTTGTTTTGCGTTGGTGTGGTGCTTTGTGCACCACATGATACTTGTAACATAGACAGTCAGATTTCTGGTTTCTATTTTCTGTAACAGGGGCGGGGAGGGACACAAAGAACTCCCATTGATGTCTGGAGTTCTGATCCTGTGTTGTGGGGGGGGGGGGGGGGGGGGGGGGTCTTGATTACACAAAAGGGTTTTAAATGCATGTTGCAGCTTTTTTTGCATGAGGAATGTGCCTGCTTTTGAGCTGTGGAGGGCGGCGTCCTGATGGGAGTTGACAAACCGCCCGCCCTGTAGGAGGCTGTTGGGATTCAGATGTTTTATTAAAGACTGCAGTTACATAAAAAAAACTCTTAGCAGGATTACATACTGTACGACAATAAAGAAGTGTTGTTTTGTAAGACCTCAGAGTCCTGCGTTACTCTCTGGAACCACAAGCCAAACGGGTCAAAAATCTTTTTGTCCTTCAGCAAAATACAAATATTTGTATCCAGATTTTTTAGAAGGAAAGTTGGAAATATCTACAGCACAAAGGTTAGTTCAGTTAAAAGCCTCTGGGTTACCTCTGTGCCTAAAACTGGGGCTGAGTAACTATTCGCTGCAATACAAACTAAATAGGAGGTTCACTGTATTTGTGTGCTTCTACCAGGTTGTTTTTTTTGATCAACTCCTGGATGTCTATAAGATCATAATTATGTTGTTTGATCTCAGACACTCAGCAATTTAACCAAGATAGCTTAATATTGCTGTAACTTCACACACCAAATACATTGAAAAAGGTCTGTCCTGAGGAATCTTAGTTTCTGAATCTGGGAAAGTGGAAAAAAAAAACAAAACTGTAAAATTCCTCAACTACTGTATCTGATCTTTGTCAACAGTGTGGATGAGAGAGGAATAATCCTTGTTGCTGCTTTTGATCCGATTGCAGATGTTAAAGCTCAGAACTAAACCCATAAAGCAACCCCACAGTCCTCTGCTGTTTGTTTCTAAAGGTGAAACTCAAACACACGTCTAACTACGAGTGCCCTCTGAGGAGAAATAAGACGCAACACAGAAATCCTTCTTCAGGTCTGCATATATTTTCAATGGAAACATTCATTCTATCAGTTTCAGTCGGGTTTGAAATGTCGGGGAACAACACTCTAGATAGATCCTGATGGGAGAGGAAATTATACGACGGAGGGAAGAAACGCAGCACTTTATTCTGCTGCTGTGGATGCACTTAGTGCCTCACCCTCCAGGGGCCAGTGTCAAGTAGTTCTTCCTTTACTCCTTACATCTACTCTGTCCTCGCTCGCCTCTCGAAACACATCGGAGGATAGAAACCCAGGAGCTCTTCCTTTATCCCTTTTGACAAACACACAGTGGGGGTGGAGGGGCTGCAGAAACGGCAACAGACGTGAGGATACATGCATCCTCTTATCTCTGGTGTTGTGTGTACACTCATGCCTGTTAATTAGTAACTGGGCAGGTCAGAGTTAGCACTCTGGAACTACATTTCCCATTGGGATTATAAGGATGCTGGACAGAAGTGACAGGCGACGGTGCACGCAGAACCACGACAGGAGAGAGAAAATAAAATTCAGGGGGAATACATTTCTTTTCCTTATTCACCTCTAGAGACCATGTTACATACTCCAATCAGACTGCAGTGGACTCGCCCTACTGCGCCAACAATCCTGGTTCAGAGAGAATGAATGAAAACGAACAGAGGGTCGGGGGAAAATAAAAATCCAAAAATATATATTTGTTTATATTTATATATATTTATATATTTACGAGGTATGTATCCACAAAAAAAAAAAAGAGAAGAAAACAACCAAAATTTTAAAACAGGCAGTCTGCTTTTTCTCCAAATGTGTCCTTGCTTGAGACGCCTGAAGGAAACATTAGTAGTAATATTAATTAAAAATAAAATGAAACTGGGGAGCTTCGCTGTCCAACCGCCCAGCTCTTGTGTCAAACCTCGTAGTCCGCCTATCAGACCAGAATCTCCACTATGGGGAGTCCAGACGCACCACGGTGGTGCTGGTTTCAGGCTGCCGCACGCCAACAAGGACCAAAAAAAAAAAAAAAAGGTCTCAAATCACAAAGTCCCAAAAGGAAAGGAAAAATCACTTCCTTGATGAAAACAAAAAAAAAAAAAAAAAAACACAAGAACCCCCCCCAACCCGGGGTTTCCCCACAACCCCGGGCTCCCAGGTGGGGGTTGGGGGGGGGCTGAACTGTTGGGGGGTTTTTGGGGGGGGGGGGGGGGGGAGGTGAAGGGAGGCCAGCCACAGGTCCAAAAAGAGGTGTCTTTGTGCAACAAAACAAGCCTCGAGGTTAAACCAAACAAGAAACAAAAGAACCAATGGCATGTGTCCTCCCGGCGACTGTTAGTTCGGCTGGAATCCCTCCCCTCTGTAGTCACGCTAGGTACTGCTGCATCGCCGTCTTTGCCCTGACGGAGAGAAACAGAATCAGTCCAACCTGCTGAGCTGGTGTCTGCTGAGAATGCGTGTTCTGTGATTTGTTATTGCGGCCCACCTGTCGCAGAGGTTGGGGTCAGAGGCCTGGGTGAGTTTGTGCAGGATATCCACGAAGCCCATCTCCCTCAGCTTATCCTGCCGCTCCTGAGAACCTGAGAGCACAGAGAGAAATTCATTCATATGAATTAATTAAGTGACGATATCTAAAATTCCTTTTCCAAAACGAAAGCCATAAATGGCTGTCATTTCTTTAAGCATTTTAGTGCACCATCATCTAAGTGTGTTGTAGACAACAGACTTCAGTGTGCGTCTAAAAGAAGTTGAAATTTGTGTAACTTTGACCTGAGCTGTGCTGACCTTTGTGGGCACAATCGCTGTTGACCACTGCTTGAACTGAAAGATGGGACGAAAAACGAATTACTTGCGTTTCTGAATCTCCAGAACTGTACAATAACAAAATCGGCCTCATGCCGAGACCAGACAGGACAGATATTGTTTGGTGAAAAATAAGCATGCAGCAAGCAGGTTAGTTAAACAGCGTTTGAATCTCTGAAACGTGGTGATATACTGCTAGCAACATTAGCATTGTAGCTAAGGTGGCTTCATTTAGTGCAGCGCCACTCGAGAGGCCTGGGGTGGTAAATACTGCACGAAGCAAAGCAGAACTTGCGACACAAAACTCTTGTTTTTCTGCTGTAATGTGAACAACATTTCACCAGAAAAGACGAAACACTTTCCTCACATCCCTCTGAACCCCTTTCTTTGTGGCTCCTTCCACTGGTGTGGTGCGTCTCTTACCGTCGTCCTCGTTCCAGATTAGATTTGAGATGCAGAAGGTGGCAGCGAGCTGCAGTTTCACATTCGAATGTCCCTGCAGGAACAGCAGAAGTCAGAAAAATGTGCAAGGGAGGGGGAAAACAAAAGCACAGGTCACAAGGCCTCAATAAGACATATATATATATATTTATAATGGCGCTTGGCATCGTAGAACGAGCCTCAGTAGATGGCAAGCGAGTCTCCGAGCATGTACGGAGCCGTTTGTACTCTAAATGTTGTTTAACGCATTTCTGTCCGAAACGCCAGAGGGCGTAAAAACAAAATGAACCGTGAGGAATCAAAAGGACAGCGAGTGTATCCCACAGACTGTAGGTGTGAGCGTCACTAACGTAGTCTTCGGTTGGTACGACATACCCCTTCACTCTTGACATGCGAGTGCTCATGGGAGGCATGATCCACTTCCCATGAGCACTCACAACATGTCAAGAGTGAAGGGGAAGCGGTAGGAAACGCATGCTGCAACAACACCAAACCCTTCTGATCTGATCACAAGGGTGAGCCACAGTAGCGGGCTTGTAGTACCATGTAGTATTTGATTTTCTGGAGCATGTCATCATTGGTCATGATGAGTTCCTTGGCTGTGTTGCCGTCGGCGATGTTGGCTAGGATGCACAGCGTCTGACAGATAAATAAAATAAGAGTATTACATCAGTGCTGCTTTCTGAACGTTTTGTTCTTCGTGATTCAGAAACAAACTCTAAATTGTGAACGGATTCTCTCCAAAGTGCTCCCAGCTCCACAAACACCACTTGACGTGCCTAACGGAGGAAAGACTCATACTTGCAGAATGTTCAATGTGGCTTTTTTTTTTTTTTTTTTTTTACATGAATTCTGTATGAAAACCATCTGTAAGCATGAAGCTAGGCTCACCTGCTCTTTCACCTCTATACTGTGCTCCGCCTCCAGGATGAGGGTCACCGCCTGCATGATCTGCTTCCCATGAGAGCTCATGATCTGGTCGATGTGCTGCCAGTCGAAGAGAGCAAGCAGGAAAAAAGAATCAGTATGCATCCTGTATCAATCACTACTTTCTACTTTTAGTGCACACTACAGCTGCCCTCACAAAGCATGTACTGTTGCATGCAGTATGCATTCAATGGAGACAAACATTGACCCTTGAACTTCTCAACCGTCTTGCTCTTATATCTGATGTGCAGAGGATTGTGGGTCAGAATTGCAAAGTAAGCATGCCGGCTTGTGTGCTACTAAATGTGACAGGATGCAGTTTGACATCCTGGTATTTTTGGCACACTATGTATCGGGACATACTGAATCTGTTTCTGGCATAATAACCGATGTGGTAGTACAGGTACTGGAATAAACAATATGTTTGGAACACACCAACATTCCTGAAATTCAACTCTGCTCAATGTCCAGTATCGACACAAGGAATTTAAGTTTCTTATCGTGTGTGTGTGTGTCTCTCACTGGGCGTGTTGACAGCAGATTGCGCAGCAAACCGAGGGTCTTCATTAGCACATTGGTGTCGGGGTCTGATAGCAGGCGGAACAACTGTTCTGTACCCAAACCCCGAACGATCTCCACCTTCACCTTCTGATCGGCCTGGAACGCCATGTTCTTAACACACAAACACAAAGAATGATCTGGCAGTATGCGGCACGGTGGGGAAATGTAAAATGAATCAAATGCATCTGCTTTATTATATTTTAACTCACTGCAACCATATATATATATATATATATATATATATATAAAACACAACTCGGATGTTTTGCAGTGCAGAGATGAAAATAGATCTTTCTTTACATCCAGTCCTAAAAAGCACAGATTCAATAAACTTTTGAGGATTTTGATGGTTGTAAGAAGCCAACAAGTATAAAAAAAATAAAATCCTCTTCTTACCATCAGAGCCCAGATCCCATTGACCCTCAGTGCAGGACTGTCACTCTGGGTCAGACTGCATAGTAATTCAATCACGCCCGACTCCAGGATGGGCTGCAGATCAACAGAAACAATTGGTCTCAGTATTAAAGTAACACAATCTGTCCTCTTTACATGCGAGCGAGTGTGCGGACCTCTTTGCTGGGGGAGAACTCCAGTAGTAGATTGCATAGTGTAGAGGAGGCCATGACCAGGACTTCATCCGGGGCGTTCTGCAACAGCTACACACAACACACAACACACGTCAGTCAGTGTGTGTTTATATAGCACACATGTATAGTTCCCCTACAAAACGTGCACTCATCACTACTCCACTGACCTTCATGAGGGGTTTCCACACTGCATGGTCGTGGAAGCTCGTCCTCAGCTGCTGCACCGACCGCGACAGACTGTGAAGACACCTGGTAGAACAAACATAGCGGAGAGGTTAGTCACAGGTAAATGGCATTTTGCAGAAGTTTCACCCGTTTGGTTTTATACATCTTCCGCTATTGATGTCGTCGTCGTAAACGTCTCATCAAAACCTGAATTATATTGACAGAATTTCAATATCCCTTTCATTAAAATGTTAAACACATTTTGTACCTAAATAAGCATTAAAAAAAGAAAAAGACGCAGGGATAAGAGGGAGTTTAAGAGGCGAGGGCAGATCGTACCTGACGGCCGCCAAACGGACTTTAATGCTGGATTCTGATAGGCCACTGACTATCCGGTCCATCATGTTCTCCGTCTCTGTGATCTGAAGACGGGACAGAGGAGAGGATAGATTAGAATATAAATAAATAGAACCGTGCACATTTATATATGCAAACAAATATATACACCCGAGGCAAAAGGTCACCTTTTTGCGGATGTCCTCGTCGTTGGAGCCGAGTGAGGCGTACAGTTTGAAAGCGGCTTGTCTCAGCTCGTGTGCGTGCTTCAGGTCATGATCCAGCTGCAGAAGAAGGAGCACAAAGTCAACAAGTCAACAAAAGGCACATTTTTTTAAATTTAAAAAAAAAAAAAAAAAAAAAAAAAAAAACGATATCTTTCCGGTTGATAAATGTCAAACAACTTTTAAGTCTCCGCATTCATAATTAGACTCACTGATTCGTTTCTGGGAAACAAAAACCACAAATGACTATGTTCAGACACACTCAGGTTTACTGGGGTCACAGCTGATTAGCATAACTACACTGGCCCAAGTCTGGACGTCAGAGCTAAATAATCTATTACCCTTTAATTGGCCTTATTAAGAAAAATAATTGCGATTATCATTTTTAGCTGGATGGCTCTGGGGATCTAAAGGTTGGTCGGTCCAACACTTTGGTCCAGACTGAAATACATGCGACGCTAATGATACTCCCGTCAACCTAAGCTGAATACTTTGTTAAGTGCTAATCAGCCAATGTCAGCATGCTAACATGCTAAACTAATCTGGTAAACATTATACCTACTGAACATCAGCAGTATTGTCATTGTGAGCATGTTAGCATGCTGACATTAGCACTTAGCTCAGGCCCACTGACTCACCCGCTTGATGTCCGTGATGGCAGACACAGAGCTGGGGTATTTGAAGTAGTCGGCCAGCATGGCCACCAGGTGGTCGGTGGTGCTTGCGATCCTCTGCAGCTCCACGTCGGGCTCCATCAGGTAGGCCAGCGTCTCCGCACCCTCCACCCTCTCCTCGAGCAAATGCTCTTTACTGCACATCCGCACGAGGCATGGCAGGGTCTGGGTGGGAAACAGGAAGTCACATTTAATAAAGAAGTGCTCCTGTTTATTATAATAAATAGAGGTGCAGTTGTAGAATAAAAGCCTGACCTTTAGGACAATGCAGCTGTCGTCTGTCCTGATGGCACCCGCTCGACACATGTACGTTAGACTGGGACAAAAGGAGAGGAGGTCACACTCAAAGTAGAGGGGGAATGTCGTCATATATTCATATCGATTGAAGCAGATTCACGTCACTCACCATTTGGCTGCCGTTAGTTGCATTTCAATGGGTTGATCCCTTTGCATCATTCTGACAAATACCTGAGAGAGCAGCTCACCATCCACCAGCACTGTGGCAACAAACAACATAGATAAGCTGGGGTTGAAAAGTGAAGCTCATACGGGGAGAAGAGGAGAGACTCACCATTCACCAGTGTCATGGAGACCTGAGTGTTCTCATAGGCAAGGACTGAGAAACACTTTAACGCCTGCATCCGGACCTGGAGAGGCACGAGGTCGGAGGGAGACAATGATATACACCGTTAACTGTGTGTGAAAGGTTGTATCGTGCAGTTAGGTATATACTATGCACACACACACACACACACACACACACACACACACACTCGCAGAGAGACGGCCGTATACCTTATAAGAGGGTGAGATAAGTAGAGGGGCAATGTTCTGGATGGCGCCATGGTTGAAAAGAACCGTCTGGTGCTCTGGGGTCTGGAGACAACAAAGGTCCAGTCAGCAGTGAATCTTGGTCTGTCTACGAGCATGACGGACTCCGCTGTGTTTTGTGTGTGAACGAATACCAACAAATACCTTACAACAGTGGGAGAAGATCTGTGTGATGTACTCCTGGGTCTTCTGTGAGCGGCTCAGTAGAGACATTAGATGGGGAATCACAGTGGGGTCCTAAAAACACACACATCACCAAATAAGATGGAAAAAGTTAGAACGAGCCTTACACTGAGAGGAACACTGAGCTGATCATATCAGTGTGCAAGACAACCTACAGTATAGAGCAGCTGCACAGGAGTGACTGGACTGATGAAGACCGTTCTGAGACATCGAAGACAAGCTTCGATGAAGATCAGGTCCGGACACAGAAGACCTGTGAGCACAAAACACAGGAGTTGAATAGGTCCCTGTCTCACTAAAGATGTTGTCCTCTGCAGTCAGTATTTGCATGCATGAGTATGTGTGTGTTTGTGTGTCCCAACCTTGAAGAAGGGCAGGGATGATGTGACAGTCCACCAGGGACTTGATGTTGTTCTCGGTACCCATGGCTAGGCTGCCCAGCACCACGGCACACTCGGTCCGTAGCTCCGGACTGGACGAGCTCTGCCCGAGCAGGTAAAGTAACCTGCAGCCAAATGGACAAACACACACCAATATGCAAATAGTTGAACTTTTACACTCTGCAGTGTTCGGTTCCGATGCATTTTGATGTACAAAAGCATGTACCACCAATGTAATCTCTATGTCTCGAGAGTACTTGAATGTGGTGCAAGTAGGAAGAAAGATAAAGTAGGAAAGACAGGAAGTGGAAAGGTGTGCAGAAACGTACCTCGGCACAGCTCCCAGGACAATCAGATTGGCCTTCTGCTTGTTGTTTCCTATGACGGCGTTCTTCATGTCACTGTGAAGTCGGACATAAACACACAGATGAGGATCTCTCTTGGCGATCTATTTGAGGCAACTGAGACAAATTTGCTCTCAACAACGAAAGTTTAAGAGTTGATAACGCTTTAGATTACGGCCCGCAACATGCAGCATATTTCTTCCCAATTTAGAGAGTCATTTTGTTGTACATGTATTGTATCCATGTGTACATTTAGCTACAAGGGAACAAGATGTGTAGTCAGGGAATAAGGTGAACCTAAAAATAATTCATACTGTAGTTTTGAGAGATTGTGAGGCAGTCTGCGGATGAGCAGAAGTCATGAAAGAAGTATAAAGACAGCAGGCAGATAGAGGTCAGCCAGGCAGACATTTCCAAATTGGAACAGTGAAGGTTTCCAGCAGATGTGCCACATATTGTTGCAGGACAAAGAATGTGCCAGGTCATTTGCATGCACTCTTTTTTTTCTTGTTTTCCGTGCAGCAGTTTCCTCTGCTCTGCTGGTGCCACCAGATGATATCATATAGCAGGTGAGTGAGGCTAATGGAAAAGTACAGCTGCAGCAGGCAGTCAAGTCAGTCAGGTGCTCGGCTAGCGGAGCGCTACCAGCCGTAACCAGAGCTAGTCCCTTCAGAAGTTTAAAATAACGATCGAGAGAGAGTGAGAGAGAGATGTGAAGTCACACTGATGACTGAGATGCATTTTCAAATAGATTGTCAGAGGAAAGCCTGTGCATGTAAACATGGAGGTCATGCTCACTCAATCAATGCATTTCAGCACAGGAAAGAAATATCAGCTAAAGCCAAAGGCTGTGCTGAAATACACTGGCTTAATAATAACAGTAGAATAATATCAGTAGAACAACAACACACACACACACACACACACACATATATATAAATTCATACATGCTGCTGGACTTACATGACTCCCTGCAGCACTTTCTGTGGGTCGGGGTCAAACAGTCGGTCAACATAATGGCGACTAGTGGCAGTGACTTCCTGCATGAGCACAAATATAACAGCAACATTAGTGACACAATTTACAAACACATTTTCAAGCTAGGGCTACCTTACTAGAAAGGTAATCCGATTGAATCTTGCTGTGTCTCTCTCACACACACAAACAGTACAGATTTTTAACATACTTAACGGCCTTTCATACATTTTAAGATCAATTTAACAACAAAGTTGAAAGGCTGAGAGAGAGAGCCTGTCACACTATACGTCTGCGTAATCTTTTTTTTTTTTTAAAAGCAACAATAATCAAACAAGTTTAAGTCTAAAATAAAAGCATTGATCGACCCACAGTCATACACACCGACACATACAGCAGCATGGCCCTTTAAAAGTTATTATATAGGGCAGCCAGTGGCTCCACGTGACACCAGTACAACTGTGTATATATCATTGACAGCTTTAACCAGAACGTTCCACATGAAACCAGGAGAGCAAACCTCACCCAGCCAGCAACACGCTGCTGCTGACAAGGTGTTCAGCACAATATGTACCTCATAAAACTCACAATCATTGGCCTACCGACTATTCTCTAATTCACTAAATATTTTGACTCTTTTACTTAGTAAAACAGGTGCCTTTCTGCATGAATGCACATCAAAATGGAGTAAAAGAGCTTGTTTATAAATAAAAAAGCCAGGGGGATCCCCGAACCCAATATTTGAGTGACTGCATGATAGAAGAGGTTCCAGCTGTTTAATGTGGTATAAACTTTAAAAAATGTAACACCTAAAATGCAGTTGCAGCTATTAAATGCAGTAAAATATCAGATATATCTGTTACAGAGGCCTAATGTCAATCCAATAAGTTCATTCAATAAGTAAATTTGAAAATAAACACGTTCAAAGAGCTATGGGCATTCCGATATTTATTCATTATATATGTTAATATTATTAGACTACTGTTTGGATATTACCTGGCCCCTGACATTTTGCAAAAGTAACCCTGTAGAGTTGCTGCATGTAACGTTACCTTCCCTGGGGGCGTTTCACTATTATCAGTATGCTCGTTTAAGCAACTTATTTTATGTTAACTTCAGCTATGTTACACCTACAGGTCATTGTCACCTGCAAGTATAATTGATGATATAATAATATTAGTTAATTGCTGGACTTTCGGCTACTGACAAAGCTTATTTTACCCAGTAGAAAACTCATTTAAGAAGTAGGCAGTCAGTGAGTTTCGTTAGCTTAGCTAGCTTAACCGTATGCTAGTGATTAGCTTAACGTTAAGTTTGCTATTATAATTAGCAAGCTGCAGTGGGTACGGGCGAATAATATCGGACGGTTGGAATAAAGACAGTCTAAGTCCTGCAACGTATGCTCCAATGTGGATTATAATTATTTGAAATGTCTTTGGTGACAGCGTTGACAGCACTCTCACTCTTAGCAGTTAGCTTAGCTGCTAACTCATTCCGAGCGACACTTGACAGGTATTACTGCGTTCGTTCGATTTGGTTTCCTTCACACACCGACGGGGCGGCCGGACACATTAGTCGCGTGCATCCCCATCCCGCGTTCAGACCGTCCCCGCCCGCGCGGGCGAGGTCAGGATCAGAAACTGTTACATCTACGTAGGCAGGACCGCTACAGTGCTACATGTTTGCAAAGCCCTGAACTTAGCTTTGCAGGCTAACAGAAGCCATAGACCCCTTCTAGTTTAGCTCTTAGCTTATTCACAAGGCTGATCAAATGATAAATTGTGAATTTAAAACAACGCTATTTTAAATGATGGGAGTGACACTCACAGACAGCACACTGATGCGGAGAGGGGCCTCCAACAAGCACGCCATCTCTCTTCCCCCGATCGAGCGCCCCAATCGGCGCAGCACTATGCAGCCACTCTCCCCCCCCCCCCCCCCCCCCCCCCCAGAGTAGCTGTGAGAGGCTTTAAAAAATTAAAAATAAAGTAACTACAGACAAATTAAAAAACAGATAACTATATTTTCCTCTTGTGGGCTCAAGTTGCAAAACACTAAAGCAGCCGATATGCAACAAAAAAAACCCACAACAACACCGCTAACTTGGCGAGCTATCTGTCAGACAGTGGATTTGTAAATGCAAAGTAAATTTTGTTTATGACTGTGACGTAGTTGATATCTCATTGAGTTAGATTCGTTAAAATAACTTCACCCATGCGAATTATGTAATGGATACAAAAAAATAAACAATAAATACAGACTGTATAATATATACAAATTTTAATTGTATGCAAAATAAACATTAAGTTTCGAAAAGGTATTCCACTTTTTTGTGTCGAATCTGCTGCCAAATATCGAAAGTAGTTTTTCGCAAATTGGTGACGTATTGCGCTGGGATTAGACCGTAGGATTTAGGTTTTTTATTTTCTTTATTATTATTAATATTATTATTATTATTATTATTATTATTTGTATCCTTTAGAACAGTGATGCAACTTTTAGTCTGAAACTCTCCGGTACAGTAGGTGGCAGTATGCACCTATTCAAGTTGGTTGCGATCCGCCAATCAAATTATAGAAGAAGAAGAACAACAACAACAACAACAACAACAAGACGTATTGCGCATGCGCGTAAGTGGGAGCTGAAAGGTGGGAAAATTTATTTCTGTCGCGTCGCTGCATACCCGTAACATAAACATGATTTTCAGAAACAGTTTACAACTTAACGGAGTGTAGAAATATACTCTTCAGTTATTCATTCATCGCCGTAAGTACTCAGTTTGTTTCTCAGTGTTTTGTTCTGTTTCTATGCTTGCAGAAGAAGTATGGTTCGTTTCAACACGATGTAACGTGGTGCGTTAGATTAAGTGCGTAGCCTAGCTAGCATGTTATGAGGCTAACTAATAGTGTGTTACTGGACGTTATTACGCAATATGTGAAGGCACATTAATGCAAAAGGCCTTGTGGACACGCATGTTAGGCTGAATGCCAAGTAGCTGCAGTCCCATTAGTCAGATAAAAAGATTAAAATGTGCAAGTTTGCAAAACAACTGTAAGTGTCCTAATGTCCGGTGCATCGCTGAATATTTCACAGGCTGTTTTATCTATACTCTTATTTAAAGGAGTGTCTGTACAGGGCAGTCCACTTTTAACATCTGATTATTAGTATTCACAGCAATAAAAACAACCGTTATGTAAACTCTCAGTATGTTGACTGACAATACTGTCATTAAGGGGTAAAACATAATAGGAGGCACCTTTCTAGCAGTCTTTCGAGTAATTAACGTTATTTTCCTATGTTTTTATGTGTATTTAACTTGTGCAAACTTCACATTTCATTGTCAAACCTGCTCACTTAAAATCATGACGATCGCTGTCCTATCATACTTTTCAATGAAAGAAATAGCATCAATATTTTGAGCTTTGTTATGTTTCTGTTCCCACAGATCACCGAACGATTGTTTCGAGGGGCAGGGAAGGAGCAGGCCTCAACATCCCTGTGTGTGTGTGGAGGCTGACAGCCCCTCAGTGTGATTATTATTTTTTTTCCTCTGCAAATCAGCGGCTTACCTGTTTGTGCAGCATGAAGATTGCGGTAGAAGGCTGCTGCCACGGGGAGCTGGACAAGATCTACGAGACGATCGGCTACCTGGAGAAGAAGGAAGGGGTGAAAGTGGAGCTGCTGCTTTGCTGCGGAGACTTCCAAGCGGCGCGAAATGAAGGAGACATGATGTGTATGGCTATACCACCCAAGTACAGATCGATGCAGACCTTCTACAAGTCAGTTCTTTCTTGTTGTTTTTTTGTCTTTTTAAAAAAGAAGTGCAAGATATGAGTGAGAGTGTTTCATACTTCAATATTTCTTTGATGCAGATACTATTCTGGAGAGAAGAAGGCTCCCGTCCTGACCATCTTCATTGGAGGGAACCATGAGGCTTCCAACCACATGCAGGAGCTGCCTTATGGCGGCTGGGTGGCCCCCAACATTTATTATCTAGGTGGGGACCAGCAGACGGTGAATGTGATTATTCCGTCGACCTGTCTGTCTGTTAATTCTTAGGCATGACTTGAACTTGTTTTCTCAGGTTACGCTGGTGTTGTTCGCTTCAAAGGGATCAGAATTGGTGGCGCATCTGGAATCTTCAAATCACATGACTACAGAAGGGGTGAGGTTCTTTTTTGATTGTCTTAAGTTATACACACACTGCAGTATATTTATAAATGTGTGCTCTTTAAGGTCACCATGAATTCCCTCCATACAATCCCAACACACTCCGAAGTGTGTACCACATCCGAAATATTGAGGTATTCAAACTGAAACAGGTAAATGGAGATTCAACTTGTTCTCTTGCATGTATTTCAAAAGATTCTACATTTATTTATCTCAAACAAAGTATATTCACAAATGTTTATTCCCACTCAGATCCAGATGCCCGTAGACATTTTCATGAGCCACGACTGGCCCCGTGGAATCTACCACTATGGAAGTACGGCGGAATTGTTGAGGAAGAAGAAGTTCCTGCGTCAGGAGGTGGAGTCCAACTCTCTGGGAAGTCCTGCTGCAGAGGAGCTCCTAGCTCACCTCCAGCCCAGCTACTGGTTCTCTGCACATCTGCATGTGAAATTTGCTGCTCTTATGCAGCATCCGGTGAGTGTGACAGCCTTTTAGCAACTAGCTGTATTGCTGCTGTTGTCAGTATTAGCCGCTGATACATTTTACACAGTGAGTATAATAATTCTAGGTACCAATGTGTATACACTTGTCTTTAGCCTAAAGCTAATGCTGCCCCACGTGTGACCAAGTTCCTGTCTCTGGATAAATGTCTGCCCTACAGGGAGTTCTTACAGGTGAGAGAAAGTTGTGTCGTTAAATACACAACGGTCACATCTATGTTAAGGTGTAGAGGCGATGGTTCTGAGAGATGATGTGCACGCTTGTGTTGCAGATCGTGGATGTTGCAGAGAGACCGGGTTCATCCGAGGGTCTCGAGTATGATCCAGAGTGGCTTGCTATTCTGAAGTCGACAAACAGTCTACAAAACACCGCCCCTCACCCCTGGAACCCCCCAGAGAATAACGGCCTGCACGAACGGTACATGCATATTTAGACATAAGTGGTCAAGGAGGTGTTTGTGAGGTTGTGTGTGTGAATTCACGCTTGTCTCTTTTTCATATTCAGTTTAATATCTTATAAGACAGGCTTGATACGGATAGTGTTGTGGATTGCCACCCTAATGTAAAATATATTTTAGTCAGTTCTCTCTAACGCTTACAGTTCACGTAAACACAATGACACATGCTGTCGTCTTTACCCATCAGGTGGGACTTCACACCTTCAGAGGCAGCGATGATGCAGGTGGTGAAGGATCTCGGCGGTGATCTCGCCGTTCCAGACAACTTCAGCCGGACCGTGCAACCCTACGACCCCAACAAGCCCCAACCGCACGCCACCCCCAGCTGTAACACCAACCCTCAGACCACCGAGCTCTGTGCCACGCTGGGTCTCACCGACCTCTACGCTCACGTGGGGCAGGGAGGTGGCGACTTGAGCAGAATTCAGGGCAGCACAGGAGGGGGGGATGATGGTGGTGAAAGTGCGGACGAACCCAGCGAGTACCCGACTGACACCTCGGGATTGTTGAGTTCGTACAATCCCGATGAGATCACCATAGAGGATGAGTGGGAGGAAGAGGAAGGAAAGGAGGAGGGCGGGTGTAACCCACCATCAGCCGTAAAGGGAGCAAATCTCTCTGACGTACCTGTAGGTGAAGTCCACCCCCCCGGCCGAATGGTTCTGCCCGCGCCCAAATCTGATACCTCACCCACTGACCTGTCCCCCCTGATGAACCTGCCGCCTCCCTCCCACTCTACCCCAGCAGTAGCTCCCGCTTCCTCTGGAGCAGAAACGGAAGAACACTGTGAGGAAGACGATGACGAGGCCTCTCGTACCTTAAAGCGTACGAGCGACGAAGCCGAGGCTCCCGGCAGTAAAGGCACAACTCCCAGAATCAAACGCAGGAACCAGGTGATCTATACAACAGTGGAGGACGACGACGAGTGAGGACTCATTTCATACCGAGTACAATTCTTGATTTTATTGATTTGTAAAACTTCGTATTAAGTTATGTATCTACTTTCTGCCTTTTTATACAGCTAACGTGACAAAGCAGAAGTTTGTCTTTATTAAAACGTCCGAGAAGCAGACGGACAGGTTGTGTTGAAATGTTTTTGTACGGATAGTTTCAAGAGTAAAGAGGCCGAGAAATTAAAATATCCTTTGTTTTTAAATGAACTAATGACATCATAAATCATTGTGCAGCCACTTCTCAAACTCTGAGGGAACCTTGTGTCAGTTGTCTGTTTAATGTCTTTTGTTTCAACCAGCATTCTGCACTCAGAGGCCCGTTCACAGCTTTATTGAACACTATACAAACTCACGGTGCTGATGGAGAAGTCTCGAACGCACAGGACACTGAAGCTACTTGTGATCACTGGAGAATGAATCAGTGAATGATGTTTAATGGATATAATGAGCCTTTTGTGTCTTATTTGAATATTAATTGAAAACATCCAATCAAATTTTGCAACCGTTAACTGGTTCACCATATTTTTAAACATTGCTTTGCTTGTGAATCTGAAAATAAAGCCGAACAAAAGATTTTCCTGGACACCAACATGAGTTTAAATCCAACAGATTTATAACATTAAGAGTCCTTTTTTTAAACGATCTATTCCAGTGTGCTCTGCTAAAATCAACACACACACTTTTCATTAAAATGAAGACAATATTCAACATACAGTGTATTCAACAAGATGTCTTTACATCCACACAGAGAGCCGATACAGTATAGCCTAATGACACGGTATTGGTTTAGAGTGCAAGCCAATATCAGGGGAACGGTATTCCTGCACACCTACGAAGCACACAAACATGATTCACAGAAGAAGAAACCCGGGAATAGGCACTTTGTTTTTTTTCGTGTGCGTTTTCATCAATTCACTCCATTTTCTTCAGCCGAGCCTTGGACAGCAACCGAAGCACACCGCTCTGTTTGGAGAGCATCATAGTAAGTTAAATGAAGAAGTAAAACCATCTCAGATCGCTAGGATTAGACGTTCACCAACAGCTTAGCGTGAGGACAGAAGAGACACGTTGAACACGAGACGGGCAGATGTTCTCCTACAGGGCGTCGTACAGGTTTATAGAAAAGATCTCATTTTCATTTCTTCACCAATATACAACTTAACTGAAGCCGATCGTTTCTCTAATCTGGCGAGAGCCATAGATGGACGACCAAATTTCCTGCTCCGACAGTTAGCACCATCACTCACTGTAATCACCCAAAAGTGAGATGAAGCTTTTTATTGAATACAAGGATTTAGTAAGTCTTGTTTCTGATGCAGTAGTACTTTGTGTTTGAGGGATATGTCCTCTGCTACAGATATGGAATTAGTCAACAGTTTACTGCTCATACATAATATTAAAGTCATGTGACCACACACACTTCAGATCAAGTCCATATCGGTGCTTCACGTGAGCACTGAAGCGTTTAAAACCCCTAAATATTTTAGGAACACGGCACTTCAGCAACCTTTTTAGTAAGACAAGCAAGTCTGTCCGACCGAACGGATCGATGAGAAACACAACGCAAAGTCAGCAATTTTGTAGTTTGGAGAAGTGTGAGTGGAAGGAGTGCCTCTGAGACACGAGCGGTTTAGAGAAGTCAAAACAACGGACAATAAATACGTACAAATGGATCTTATGCTCAGCAGACTGTGCCATGGATCGTATGGAAGGTATTACACACCATGGGATCATTCCAGGGGTACATCATGTGGCATTATTCACAGCGGGATGTGATTGATTCAGGTCTAAGGAGGAGGCAAAGCAAGCGGGTGCAAGCTCCGACAAAAGTAGAAGAAGAAAACAGTCACAACCTCAAAATGTGGCTTTTTTGTTTTCCTCCTTTCGTTTCTTGAACGCTTTTTTTTTTTTACGCAATCAGGACTGTGACTGAACACGAAAGAAACTTCACAAATTAGTGCTAAATACTACAACAGGCCACTGTCTTCTATATTTTCCTCCTCTCGACCTCCGTCTGCCTCCCCTCGTTCTCTTCCCAACAGCGGCCGTCGGTCGAGGGACACAGATGTGGAACATTCTGCGTCTTGCTCCTCCCAACTCGGTCTGCTCTTCCTTTCCTCTTATTCTCTCCTTCGAATTTCTGTGTCTGAATTTCTGTCTGCTTTGACAGGAGGATGAATGGAGGGTAAGGGTTGTGAGTGGATACAGTGTTTCCCAGCATCAGGCCCCCCCCCTGTAGGTTGGCTGAAGGAAGCGGGCTGGTTGAAGGGCCGTGGTGGAGGTGGAGGTGTGGATGGTGGAGTACTGGTGGGAGTCGTGGAGGTCTAGTTCCCACCGCAGCAGGCTCGAGTAGAGTGGGCGTCTGGGTCCTGGAGGTTGACCCCCCGGTGCCGCGCTGCATGTGTAGGGTTCTGGGTGTCTGTTTTTGGCATCTTTTTTGCTACAAAGACAAAGAAATATATTTTTACATATTTAAAAAAAAAAAACAGACTTTCTAACTAGAGAAAACTCAGAGAGCGAATATATCCACATAGAATATAAAAACAAAGGATTAATTATGGAAAAAAATACAAATATATTGTTGATATTTTCTTTTTTATTCCTGTAGTATTTTTTGAAAATGTGTATTCCTCATATCTCCTAATATTTGGTAATTTCCTTTCAAAGATTCTTGGATCCAGATCAGCATCAACATGTAATCTCTTGTTCATTGGCTCGTGGCTTAATTTCCCACCAAATTCAACTTTTTGACGTGCTGCCAACCAACAGACAAACAGCCTGATATATAACATATAATCTCTTAAGAGGAGGCGATGACTCCTACGACTTACGAAATAAAAGGTTGTTTTTTTTTAGTGGTTTAAATGAAAGAAGACTCACCAATAGCCAGAAAGAGCTCATTGACGTTCATGGCTGTCTTAGCAGAGGTCTCCATGAAGAGCAAGCCGGTGTCGTCAGCATACGTCTGGGCTTCCTTTTCCATACAACACACAAAACAAACACAAATAAAACATCAGCGGTAATTTAAAAAATTACAAAAACAGCCTAAAGCTGAAAAGAGCAAATGTGTTTTTATCTACAGGTGGCAGGAGCTCAGTAGAGCCCGACCTGTGACACATCTCTCACGTGCAGCTTCTGCAACAAATAAGGTTCATGTTTTGGTAGCTGCTGATTCATAACTGCTTCAGCAGCAGCATATGAATGCAGCCAAACAGGCATGATAACGGATCCTTGTGCCCGATTATCTAATCATTCTGTAATTGAGTACACAAGCGTGAGGAAGTGCACCTTTAAGAAAACGCTTTGGCGATGTCCTCCAACATCACAAACTATGCCAGCCTTACACATGACTATGACGACTTAAAGCACCCATCGTGCCAATAATATGAATTAATAACACACATCACCTGTCGTCAGCAGTTATTCGTTAGGTTACAGCCAATCAGGGGTTAGACAGGTGCGTCTTACCTCAAAATCCACAAGTCTCCTCTCTGCCAGGTCGGCCTTGTTCCCGGCCAGAGCAATAACAATGTTAGGACTGGCCTGCCTCTGCAGCTCCTTCACCCAGGCCTTGGCTCGCTCAAAAGTCTCCTGCACAAACACACACACAGCACCGAGGTCAGATCAACCAGTAACACGCATGTAAATACCAGACAGAGGGCATAGAGGCTGTGCATGGGTCACACATCAACAGAAGCATATTTGTCAGGTAGAGGACAGACTGCTCTTTTCCTAAAGTTCATGCATGCATAGAGCTGGGTAGTATGCTATCAGATTGTCTGTTTTGATCTAATATTGTGATGTAGGTTATTGCCGTAAAGGCTGCGTTACAGTTTAGTAAAATCATTTCTTTGTGTACTTGTTTTCCCTGCTTTAAATACACTATAAATTGTCTGACAAACACTTTTGCAGGCTACAACAGTTGTCAATATAGCCCAGATCTACACAAACAACCAATGGTTTGACTCTGTTCATACTGTACCGGCTTGGTGATGTCAAAGACAACGATGGCAGCCTGAGCTCCGCGGTAGTACATGGGAGCCAGGCTGTGGTATCGCTCTTGACCTGCGGTGTCCCAGATCTCAAACTTCACTGTGGTGTCGTCTAGACACACCGACTGAGCCAGGAACGCAGCTGGATGTGGGGGGGGGGGAAACAAATGACAGGTTACTATGTGTTAACATCACCTGATGAGCATTTAAACCAACACAACGTACAACCTTAGTCCACATTCACCTCCTATGGTCGTCTCCTGGAACTCATCGAACTGTCCCTTGACGAAGCGCAGCACCAGGCTGGACTTGCCCACGGCCATGTCGCCCAGCAGCACCAGCTTGAACTGGCAGATCTTGGTCTGCGGTAGTGAGCCATTGGAGCGGCCTCCACTCCCTCTGGAGCTCATACTGGAGACGGCGGGGGGGCAGGGGGGGGGGGGGGGGGG